GAACATCTCTGAAGAGAACCAAGCCTTTTACTCCTAAGTAATTTATGATTCCAAGGTGTAATGAGGGGTCTAAAGTGGGGATGTAATACCTACACATGTGATATTTCTTTTTGCTAAGGACTTCTTGGTCATTCCAGTGTTTAACCAGTCCATTTAAAAGAGAAAAGGAAGTTTGGACAAGAACAATGAGAGAGTAGGAGCACTCAGGTTGGTTCTAAACCTGGGTGATGGTCTTGTACCCCATTACTGTTCTAGTGGTGTGTAATGTTTTATGGTAGAGTGAAATGGTGAGGAGAGGGCCCAAGACAAGGAGGTGCAGGGAGAGTGATAATTTAGCATTGATTGTTTAGATGGCTACATGCAAAAACACATTCTTCTTAGTAACACCGATCAGCCACAAATTAAACCACTGAAATATGAAGTGAATAGCATTGATTATTTCAATTCAATGGCACCTGTCAAGGATTAGTCAGAAAGTGAACAATTAGCTCTTAAATTTCATGTATTGAAAGCAGGAAAAATTGGCAAGCGATAAGATCTGAGTGACTTTGACAAGGTAAAAATGGTGATTGCTAGATGGCTGGGTCAGAGCATCTTCAAAATGGCAAATCTTGTGGGGTATGTCTGGTTTGAAGTGGTTAGTGCCTACCAAAAAGTGGTGCAATGAATGTGAACAGGTGAACTGCTGTCATGATCATGGGTGCCCAAGGCTCATTGATGCATGTGGGGAGTGACAGCTAGCCCATCTGATTTGATTACACAGAAGAGCTAAACAAGGTTTGAAGGTCTATATAAAAATCAAATGTATGTGTATACATTTCTGCCCTGGGTATCAGATAACCTTGGTACACCTCTGGTTAATAGACTTATTAGAATAGTGTACGGTGTGACAATTTTGATAGGCCAAACCATTTTTCCATAAAATAGAAAATTAAATAGGACACTCAAATTTCAGCCACATGTTGGTTTGGTTTGGCTGAATTTCAGTACCAAAATAAACGATACTGGATAGAATCAAGCAAACAAAAAGGAAAGGAAAATGGACGAATCAGTGTATCCGGATATGGACCTAAACGTCGATATGATATAACCAGAGTTTGATTAATAAAGACAAATTTTCCTGTTAGAAGTCCAGTGTCCGCCTTTCTTCGTGGATATTTATGTAAGCTTGGCTGAAGGAGCACAGTGACACATACATCACAAATGTGAATGCAGGATCGTGGATAATATATAATGTTATATATTTATTTTTCAGTATACTGACAGGAGCATTTTAGGGCCACAGATCAAGTGAGAAAAAAAAATGATAATGGGAAAAAGAATGAATAAAAAAAATAAAATAAAAAAAGCTAAATTTATATACCATTTGGTTTTTTAAACATCTATTATATAAATATAGATTTTTTTTCCTGCATCTTTTTATCCCCTTGATCTGTGAATAAAGTCAACCTTTAGTGACTGTCAATATTGACTAGCATTCAATCATCTCTTTTTTTAGAATCCAGAATTCTGAATCAAAATCAACATGCTCAGCAATTGTCTAAATCGTGATTCGGGTACATTTTGAATTATTATTATTATTAATACGTCCAATTCCAGACAAATTGCTAGTCAGATGAATCTCCAAGTCTAGTAGTTACTAGTACACTAATGGCAATAAGGTTGCTAAGAAAACAAAAATATTTGACATAATTGCTAATGTGTTCTTTTTAACAAATGTATTGAAACAAACTATTAATGTTTACCCATCTACCTCTTTCTTCTCTGACACTAAACTAAACTGTTAAGAGGTTGTGTAATTCATCTGCAGCTGATATTTGACTATGGTTTGGGCAAATAAAAAGATGGGCACACGTTTATTAATCCCTATTAGCACACAGTCCATATAACAAATTATCTTTCTAAGTCTTATTCTCTTAATAAACTCAATTAAGATAGAGTACAGAATGTGTTGCTTCCCTGATAATGCTTTGCTGTACCTTATCTGACATATTCTGGTTATAAAACCATGCACAAAAGAGCTCTTTGGTGGCCTTCGCTTAGGTGTTCTAAATCCTTTGCAGTAAATATTTAACTAGCTTTTAGTTAATTGATCTTTAAAATGTAAGCTGTGTTTCATTGTATTTGGCTTCTCTCAAGCCTTTAAAATGTTTCTCCCAGCCAAGGGTTTTCACCTCCCTCATTCACAAATGTTGATAGGGCAGCAGAAACATTGGAAAATATGCTTGGTCATTTCACAATTCACGTGGACCTCTTATCTTAGCTATTAAGTGTATGGCATTGATATCTTTATCAGTAATTATAGGAATGTAGTGGGTTAAAAAATGCTTTACATGTGCAGAATTGGATGAGATGACATAATTTTGACATTGATATAGAAAGAAAGAACTTTAATTTTAATTGGTTTAAATAAATAATTACATTTAAATAAATAATTTATAGTAATTAATAGGACACTCTGGGAAGAAATTAGTTCATATTTTCATGCATTGTATTGATAATGCACAAGTAAATGCAAGAAATAATGTTGGAAAAAAAGAGTTATGTACTTTTATCTTCTGAAGCTTTTTCAATCAGTAGCCTTGTAGTCTGGTACCTGTGGGTATTGATTTTTTTTTTATTTTTTATATTGTTTGGAGTCAAATTATGAGTACTAGATTAACTTTTCTATTGGAGATGCTGAGCAACATAATTTAAAAAATGGACAAGAAGTCCATATTGGGACTATTTTTGGACATCCCACCAAACATGTAAGTATGAACCACCTCATCCACACCTTCTTCAACAAATTCTGGAAGTATATGGAACATCATAGGAGCCAGGTACCATCTGAACAGTATTTTCCTAAGCAATTCAAAGGGATTGCATATAAATCAAGGTTTTATAAAATGTTTCAGTTACTTTTGCCATTTATTTAAAAAAGTACCTAGGTCTAGTTCTCATTGTCTCTTGTACAATAGATAATAGGTTTGCTCCTAAACAGTTGAGTAACAGTGATCATACTTTTAACATTGGGTCATTAAAACAAAAACAAAAAAAATTCAGGGGAGTTAATTTAGTATATTGTAACCAGTCACTAATGTGCATAGTGGAAAAGCATGTTGAACCTAAAGAAACCTTGAGTAATCAATGCATAGGTGTAAGCAAGCCACCCTCCTGCAGACAAAATGTATGCTAGTAGGAAGATGACCCCAAGTATAAAAATTATGATATCTATGTGTTTGTCAAAGTGTGTATATCTGTGTGTCAGTGTGTGTATCTGAGTGTATGTGCCAGTTTGTGCCTCTTTGTATCTGTGTGTATGTATGTGAAACCAAGAGGGCTACGCTCACCTGAACATGCATACTTGTAAGGGTGCTGCTGGGGCCAATTCATACAACATACAAAATCCAGCGCACTCACTCATTCACTAATTAGCGATTTCAAGTTTCACAGAACCTAGGCAAAAAATAATGGGGGTTTAGTTACATTATATGATCATATTTTGCATAAGCCTATCACAACGTCAATATATCCCATTCTTGGCAGGTCCTACTCTAGCAGCCTAATGCCTGCTAGGAGATTAATCCAGTTATTTTGGAAATTCCTCCTCCTGGGACTCTCTGCAGGTCAAGGCTAAATAGGGACCTTGAATACGACACCTGTGACATGGAGTGATGCAAAATTAAGGAGTTGGCCTGGACTCCCAAATATATAAATGAAACCAAGAGGTTGAAGGGACACAGTATTTGCACAAAAACCACTACATTAAGATGGTGCTTAAACTTTACTGTCAGTATTGTTTTAATTGTATTGTGTACACGTGTTAAAGAGACACTATGCAATAAAGGAAATATAAACATTAGATCTCTCTTTACATGAAGTGCTTGGGAAGGCTTTGCAGGTCACAAGCATGGAGATGTGATTAGGACGGTATAAACAAAGTAATTTAACTCCCAAATGGCAGAAAATTGAGTGGTGAGACCACAGGGGCATGATCTATACACTAAAACTGCTTCATTAAGCCAAAGTTGATTTTCTGACTACAGTGTTCCTTTAATAGGTTCATGCACATAGTGCAATAGGGAGATTTAAACAAAATGTCAGACTGTGGCTTGACAGTGAGTTCTGTTCATCAAGTGCCGAATAGCTGCTAAATGGTGGTGTTCAGTTGTTCTAATTCAGATGTTTTAACTTTCAGTGTTCTCTGCAAAACAAATTCAGTTGTTTTAGATGCATTTCAATTTAGACTACTTTCTGATTAGCTGTTAAATCAGCCAACTTGATACTTAATTTTGTTAATTCAGTTATATTTCTTTTCACAACTACATTGCAAGTTAATGCACTTATACAATCCTAATCCACCCAAAACAAACTGGGTAATTACACCTGTAATTCTAAGTCCCCCGAATGTTATATAGCCCTAATACTACTGCAACACTAAATCTCTAAAGTCCTACTTTTGCCTTTATGGAACCTTTTTGTTTTTTCTTATAGATGGTGCATTAAGCTCCAGAATGTATACAATTTAGTTACTATTTAGCTGAAACCCTTTTCAAGTAAATATTAGCAATGAGACCTGTTTAGCTCAATGCAGTTTAATTTTAGCTGATTGTGAATAAAGTGAACCTCACAGGAGTTTTATCAGTTGAATTAAAAAGAAATGAGTAAATATCAGTGATTGTGTTTAGTAATTAGACATAAAAAATATATATTTGTGTTCGGTGCTATTCTTGTAAGGTAACGTATGTATAGTATGGTGTAACCATAGGTATGAACAAGTCGGTTGAAGAGTGCCCAAACCGACGTATGCGGTAGGCCTGTAATAAAGAGGGCCCACCCTAGATATAAAATAATAAATTAATTGAGTTGAGAGAGTGGTGGGTGGGGCCTGCCGAAGTCAAAACTCCACGGTGATGCAGAAAAAGAGGGGGTGAGTTTAAATAGGATCACCACGCTCCTCCCACAACTCCAGGCAAGCCTTTACATTTGTGTTCGGTGCTATTCTTGTAACGTAACATATGTATAGTATGGTGTAACCATAGGTATGAACAAGTCGGTTGAAGTGTGCCGAAACCGACGTATGCGGTAGGCCTGTAATAAAGAGGGCAAAAATAAGCAGTGTCTTTGCCAAAGAAAATATTACATAGATAAACATAGTGCAAAGAAAATACCTCAAGATGACAGTTTAACAAAGCCGCCCTAATTTCTAACACAGGTTGAGGTATATACAAAGCAAATGCTGAGGACTTCCAGCGGCCCAAAGACTTGATTACATGTATTGGAATATTTTGGCTGTAGGCTGCCCCTATCCTAAAGGAATGGCCAGAATAAGTTGCCAGCGTTCAGACCTAGTCTGGTCAGTAACATGCGAACGTATTGCACAAATTTGGCTGTTTGTAAGACCTCTTGTGTAAGACTAGCAGCGGGATGTCAGACTGCGGTGGTAATGATTGGAGGTATGTATCCAATACTTTCACCGGGCACCATTTGTTTGCAGTAGGATAATGTGTGACTGGTACTATCTTGCCCAGCTGGCTTGTTTTCGTAACTGGTAGTGACAGGATATAGTGATCATGTAGTTTGGTGAGATGGGACCATTTGAGGCAATTTTGTACGTATTTGTTTCTGTGTATGGTAAACTCGCCAGGTCTGAGAAAACCATAATATGCCAAGTAGATGGCTGTTTTGATTACCGTGTTTGTATAGTGTTCAAATGGGGCAGTGTCCAACAAGTCGGACATATCCCTAAATATCTGCTTATGTACTCGTAATCTTGTTGATGGAGGAATGGTACTGGATTTCTGTACGCCTTTAGGAATGTTTTTAATGGGGTAAGAAGATAAGAAACTAGAGTTATCTGGGTATAAGGTATACATGTGGTGTTGTATGCCGGTTAAATATAATTTGATTGTGTTGTGTGACAGTTTGCGTTTTAGATGACAAAACAAAACAAAAGCTACCCGTGTGGAAATGGCAAAACTGCACTAAGTTGTGTTCTATCATAAACCTCTTGTATAGTTTGAAGGCCCTATTGTAAGACCGTTTAGTATTGTCGGACATGGGTAGACTAGCCGAGGAGAGATTATGCCTTGCCAATTCTTTGAGCCCATCACCAGCTCCTGAAAACGTGGTGCTGCCGTGGCTGTAGGGGAGGCCGTGGCTAACGTCTCTCTGAATGCCTGGAATTCAAAGCGAGACAGCTTGTCAGCTGCAGTATTAAAGACCCCTGGTATATGAGAACACACCAAATAAAAGTGATTGCAGGCAGCCAGCCAGGTCAGTCTTCTCATGATCGTTAGAGACTCCGAACAGCCTTTGTTTATGATGTGGCAGGTAGCTTGGTTGTCGGAAAAACAGCTGATACGAGTAACGTCATGGTATGAGAGGGAGGAGGCAAAGGAGTCTAGAAATAAGGGCCCTGCCTTGCGGGATGACTCGTATAGCAAAATTCAACGATCCCAACAAAGATTGCAATTCCTTCCTATTGCATGTCCTATTGACCAAAAACGTGTAATGGATTGTAGTATGCTGTCAATTTACCTGGAAGTAGGCTCGCTTCCATGTTTACTGAATCAAGCATGATACCTAGGAAATTTACTAAACGTGTCAGGCCTTCTGTTTTCTTAGGGGACACTGGCACCCCCAAAGAAAGAAAAATATGATATGGCCTTTGTCAGATCGCTGGGGGAAGAGGAATTATTCTCCACGAACAGAAAGTCGTCTAGATAATGTATAATGGCCTGGCATCTGCCATTGTCTAATAGCAGCCAACTTAAGGTTTCGGAAAAGATGTAAAATATTTTTGGGCTTCTTTTTGACCCGAACGTGAGTCTTGTGAAAAATTAATAGACACCTTTCCATTCTAAACCATGCAGATGCCATAGTGACAGGCGAATGGGTAGTAATTAAAATGCATTGACGATGTCAGTTTTACTGAGCCAAGCCCCTATGCCAGCTGTGATGGTGTGTATAGCGTTGTCTATAGTGGCATAGTGGAGTGAAAATTCCTCGGATGGAATTATGGAATTAAGGCTTGGTATGGCCAAGTAGTGAGGTGCTGATAGGTCTAAAATAAGTCTGTGTTTCCCTGAGGATTTCCCAGTGACTAATCCTATGGGGTTGGTTCGCCAATTGGAAAATGGGGGCTCGCAAAAAGGTCCCAATAAGAACCCATCCTCCAATTCTTGTGTAATAGAGCATCGATCATTTCCACGTTTGCAAATGCTGACTGTAAATTGTTGCATTCATAAATGCCAGCGGGGGTATGAACCAACCCTGTATGGAATCCCTCCGTAAAACCATCTATCAAAAAGTCCAATAGGTGTTTGGATGGGTGGGAGGCTAATGTGTGCGCCAAAGAACCAATCTTACGGATGTCAAATATGGTTTAGTATGACTTTATTGGGACACATAGACTTGGCGTGTGCCCTAAAACAATGTGAACACACATGTAACAACCTGCAGGCACCATAACCACAGGTACCCACGTCGAAGTTATTACAAACCTGAGACTTTCCCAGGTAAACAATAGAGCAACCAAGTTTGTCCTTGCCAGATCTGTCCAACCTGGAAAGTCCCAGGTGTGGACTCTGGCATAGTGGGTCAATAGTCCGAGGAATGTGATGTTGAAGCACAAACAGCACAAGCTGGTGTCCTGAGAACGGCAAATTGTCTCCAAAACAGCTCAGTATCCATGCAGCTCCAGTCAGTTTTGACGTTATACTGAGCCAATATTGCTGACGCTCTTGCCGAAAAGGATTGGTGATAGTCATAAAAGGATGACCCACCAGATTTGCTTCCCAAGTCCACCAGCTTGTGCATGTAGAGGTCGAGTTCCTCTTGTCTATGCAAATAAACAGAACAAACTACATCACGATATACCAAAAGCCAAGACAAAATCAGTTATGGACAGTTTCTTATTCAATCTAGGGTCCCTGGCTTTCAACACCACCGAAATATCACCATAAGCATAAGTGCGGTTATCAATGACATCGTGAGAAGCAATAAGTAATGTCACAAGATTGACATCCTTCCCCTCCAAGATGTCTTTCTTAATCTTATCTGAGACCATATGCACAGGATTGATAATGTGAGTTTCGGAACCAGAAGGCACATAATTACCCGATTGCAATAGTGGGGCATGGGGAGTAAGGAAGTCGAGGGCCTGGAAGACCTGACAGGATGGCTCCGAGCCTCGATCCTATCCAGTCTATCGTTGACCTTGCTCGTGGATGCTACTAGTGAAGCGACCATGGCTTGTAGTTCCGAGTTGCCCGTACCACTTGTGCCCTCTCCCGCCCCCGAGTTATCAGAATGAGACCGCATGAGTTTGTAGAGCTCAGCTTTCCTGGCCGTGGCAGGAAAAGGAATGCTGCGTCTCCAGAGTTCTGCAGTAATGGGAGGGATGGTCCATGACCCTATTGAAGTTGGACTCCCAACGTCGCCTTTACGAGCAGGTGACAAGGATCTGGACGGAGAACTGGGTAG